GAAATCCAGAAGATTAACAATAAAATTTCAGAATTAGACAACTCAATAGAAAGTCATAGGAGCAGAATTGAGGCAATGGAAGTCAGAATTAGTGAGATTGAAGATAAAGCACTTGGCACCAACTTACTTGAGGAAAAATCAGATAAAAGGATTTAAAAAAAATGAAGAAACCCTAAGAATTATGTGGGACTCTATCAAGAGGAATAACCTACAAGTGATTGGAGTACCAGAACAGGGCAGGATAACAGAAAATACAGAGAGAATTGTTGAAAATTTGTTGGCAGAACACTTCCCTGATATTGTCAAAGATGACAAGATATCTATCCAAGATGCTCATCGAACCCCACAAAAGGTATATCCCAAAAGAAAGTCACCAAGACATATTATAATCGAACCTGCCAAATCAAACCAGAATCACGGACTAGTTGGCTTCCAAAAATCTGAGTAACCAGTGAAAAAGAGTAACCAGACAGTTTACAAGATGAAATTGAAGTTGGTGTTGTTAAGTAGTGTTGTATAGAATCTTAGAGGACTCTGAATATATACTGTGAACTTCCCTTGTTGAATTAATAAAAATATAATTTAAGTCTCACAATCTCTATGTCCTTTTGCCTTCAACCTCAGGGCCTCATGTTCCGAAGTAGATACTTTAATGGTAGATCTCATGGAAATGAGGTGAGTGCACATGCTTCAGCATGGAGATATGTCAGTCTTGGTGCTATACATGTCTTGCCCTTTTTATGCCTCTAGTTCTATGCACCTTTTCATTTTTGTTTCAATTTTAAAGTCACATATACTTATTAGGGACCATGGCTATTCTTGTAGGAAGCACAGCTCTGAGTCTTAGGTTGTAATAAGTTTAAAGATAATTGGAACAATAGTTTCTAGAGATGTTCTGACCCCAAATTGCCAACCTGGCTTTGGAGTTTTACGACACGGGCTTGTCTGCTGGAAAGAAACAGTCCAACCAATTATAATTGAGATGTGAGTTAAAAATTCACACCTTAATCTCAAGGGTGAAGCCAAAGTGACCACCATTTTGTCAACCCATTTAAAAATATATATAAAAGGGCTCCTCAAATGGCATTTTGACAAAAAACTGCCACAGGGAAAAGCTTCTTCTTTAAACAAAAATCCATAGCATAGTAAATGCCATAATCTACTATGAACCAGAAATTAGGTAAGATTCAAACATTACAAGACCAGGAAGCTAAAGAAGCTATAGAACTCTCCGCCCCACCCCCCCAAACTACTATAATTTCAATAGTGCTTACATCATAGCCTTGCTAAAATATAAAATTCAGAAAATGTCCAATGATGATTAACTGGATAGTACAGTAACAAGTTACCTGTCTGAAGAACTCTTCCAGAAGTGACATCGTCCAGCGATGATGGAGGTCCCACGCTTTTGCTGGATGGCTAATATCTGCTGTGTGCAGCATGAGGGATAAGGCTTTTGGCTTTTCAATTCTGTAAACCCAAAGGAACCAACACGTTATGACTGAACTCTTCAGAAACTAAATAAGAGTTAAAAACAAACAAACAAACAGTAATTTTTAAATCTTTTTTCATTGTCCTGTCTCAAACCCTACTCCAGTTGAATTGGGGGAAAGGCATCATTTTATCCTATGACTAGTACAGTCATCAGCTTGGACTCCGTGTATAGTGTACTGGACATCTCTGACTCAAAACTATTTCTGGAATGATTGTATCAATCAAAAGGACAAAGAGAATCCAAGAGTCAGTGTGTTCTTTTTATTTGTTCCCTTTGCGTTGATTGGACCTTGATAATTTAGTTTCCCAATGGGAAATATTTTAAATTCTAATTGGGGCAAACTGTTACTGGTCCTGATGAGAACATACCTAATTGTGATCTGCACAATTCTTGTGCTTTCTTCTCTGAACATCACCACTTTATGAGACTATTCATTAAAGTTATATTCAAGGAAATACTCTTTAAAAGTTCAATGACATGGCCAAGTACCAGGTCAAATGCCTATAAACACACATGATGTCACAGGCCCACTCACGCTTCCGGCTGCTGCAGAGCAGTCTTCATGGCTTTGATTTGCTGGAAATGACAGGACATATCCGTGGCCATCACCATCTCAATTACCAAGGCCCGAAACTCCCTTTCAGGGACACCCCGGCAAGAAAAAAGGATGGATGTAAAAGATGAAAAGTATAAATTAGTTCATTTTTTGCCACTTCTAATCAAAATCAATTATCTCTGACATTTCTAATCTATTTTGAGCCTTTTAAGTGGGCTTTTCATGAGGAATAAATGAAGGTTAAGGATTAAGGAGAAGATCATTTATTAGAAACACTACATGTAGAATGCACATATTACTTGGAAAATTAACTCAGTCAAAAAAATTCCAATGAAACTGAAAAGTATAAAGCATGCCCTTCTCAACTGATTCAAAGTTCTAAGGGACAATTAATTTGAAAATGATCTTAAAAAGTAGACTGATAATTCATTTTATATTTTTGGTATAGGTATTCTACTTTTTTAAAAAATCAACTTCATTGAAGTATATTTTATACAGAATAAACTGCTTACATATAAATTGTACAATTCATGAGTTTTAACATTTGAATACACTTTTGAAAACACCACCACAGTCAAGATACAGAACATTTCTATCACCCTCTCAAACCCCTTGCAGTTCATCCCTCCCTTTGTCTGCACAGGGCCAGGCAACCAATGATTTTTATTCTGTCACTCTGACAGAGTTTGCATTTTCTAGAATGATACACACACACACACACACAATAAAAAAATCTGTTGGACTTCCTTCACTTAGTATGATTTTTTTTTATTTCATCCATGTCCTGGTTCATCAATGGTTCATTTGTTTTTATTGCTGAGTGGTATTCCATTGTATGAGTATACCACAATGTATCCATTCACCAGCTGATGGACATTGGGTTACTAAGTTCTAGTTTTGGGCTATTGTGAATAAAAGGGCTATGAACATTAATATATAATTATTTGTGTGGTCATATGCTTATGCTTTTACTTCTTTTGAGTGAATATCTAGGAGTTTATAGGCTGGTTTCTAAGATAGGTGAGTGTTTATAAGAAACTGCCAAACATTTTTCAAAATGGTTGTATTATTTTACATTTCCACTAACAGTGTACGAGAGTTTGTTTTTCTAGTAGCGTTGTCTACTCTTGGTATTGTCAGTCTTTAATTTCAGCCATTCTAATGGATGTGCAGTGGTGTCTCACTGTGGTTTTAACTGCATTTTCCTGATGGCTAACGATGTCAAGCTCCTTTTCATGGACTTATAGGCCGTGTTTATATCTTCTTTAAAGAAATGCCTGTATCAAACCTTTTTCATTTTTTAAAGGTGGAATGTTTGTTTTCTTATTATTGAGTTGTAAGAGTGCTTCATATGTTCTGCACACAACTTCTATGTAAGATACATATACTGTGAATAATTTCTCTCATTCAGTGGCCCTTTTTTTTACAGCTTCTAAAGGGCAAAAAGTTTTTAATTCTGATAAAGCTCAATTTGTCAATTTTTTTTTTATGCTTTATGTTTTTTGCATCCTATCTGACAAACCTCTGTCTATCCCAAGGATTTTGCTGTTTTCTTCCAGAAGTTTTATCATTTTAGCTTCTACCTTTAGGTCTATGATCAATTCTGAGTTAATTTTTTAGTACAGTATACGGTAAGAGTCAATGTTATTTTTTCCCAAATGGGTATCTAGTTGTTCCAACACTATTTGCTGAAAAGATTTTTCTTCCTCTATTGAATTGCTTTGACATCATTGTCATAAATCAACAGATGAATCAATTTCCAAACTCTCAATTCTGTTCCGTGTATCTGTGGGTCTATTCTTTCAGCAATAAAATACCTTCTTGACTACTGTAGCTTTATAGTATGTTTTAAAATCAGGTAGTGAGTCCTCTTTGTTCTTTTTAAAAATTGTTGGCATTTCTATATAATTTTTTAAAAATAATCTTGGCAATTTATAGAATAATTTTGCTGGGGTTTTGATTTGGATTGTTGTTGAAACTATAGCTAAATTTGGGAAGATCTAGTATCTTAACAATACTGAGTCTTCCACTACATAAAGTAGTATATCTCCCAATTTACTTAAATCTTTTTTAATTCCTCTCAGCAATGTTCTACAGTTTTTAGTGAACAGGTGTTGTGTATGTTTTCTATGGCTAATCCTAAATATATTTTTTGTGTCATCGTAAAATAATTTATTTCATTTTCCAATGGTTTGCTGCTTTTTATACGTTTTTTTTTTTTTTTTAACATTAACATTGTATCTTGTGACCTTGAAAGATTTATTATTAGTTTTAGTAGCTGTTTTACAGATTCTTAGTATTTTCTACTTAGACAATTAGGTCATCTGTTAATGTAGACTTCTTACAATGTTGATGAGAGTTGTCCTTGTCTTGTTCCCAATCTTGGCGGGGAGTGTTCAGCATTTTACAATTAAGTATGGTGTTGGTCATACGTTTTTCTCAGGTGCCTTTTATCAAGTTGAAGAAGTTCCCTCCTGTTTCTATTTTACTGACAGTTTTTTATCATGACTGAGTTGAATTTTGTTAAATGTTTTTATATATTGAAATGATCATATACATTTTTCCTTTTTTACATGTTGAATTATATTGGAGCTCTGGTGGTACAGTGGTTAAGAACTTGGCTGCTAACCATAAGGTCAGCAGTTTGAATCCACTGGCCGCTCCTTGGGAACCCTATGGGGCAGTTCTACTCTGTCCTATAAGGTCATTATGAGTTGGAATAGACTCAGTGGCAACATTTTTTTTTTAATTATATTAATTAGTTTTTGAATGCTGAATAAACCTTGAATTCCTGTGATAAATCCAAATTGGCCATGATCTATCATCCTACCTATACATTGTTATATTCAATTTGTTAATATTTTGTTAATAATTGTATAAATGTTCATGAGATGATCTCCAATTTTCATTTTTTTGTAATGTTTTTGTCAAGGTACGGCATCAGAGTTATGCCTCATAAAACTGAAACGTGTTTCTTCGTCCTTTATTTTCTAAATAAATTTGCATAAGGTTGTTGTTATTTCTTCCTTGAATATTTGATGGAATTCACCAGTGAAACTATCCAAGACTAGAGATTTCTTGTGAGAATATTTTTTTTATAACAGATTCAGTTTTTTAATAGGCATAGGATTATTCAGAGTTTTCTGCCTTTTCTTTTTTTTCTTATTTAAATATTTTTTAGATCCTATTTTAATGTATCTATTGAATTTTTATCTATTAGTGTTTTTTTTTAGTGGTTGCTCTTGGGATTACAATATACATCTTTATTTTTCACGGTATACTTATGGTTAATATTGTGTCATGTTTATATCTTGATAACACAATACTGTAAAACTACTGCAACAGGACAGGCACATTTACTACCACTAGCCATCCTTTATATTATCACATGTATTATATCTTCTTATATTATAGGCCCCATAAGATGATGCTGTAATTTTTGTTTTAAACAGTCATATGTGTTTTAAAGAAACTGAGTAGCTTCTTGAATCTGTAAAACTACATCTTTCATCATTATTGGGGAAGTTTTCAACCATTGTTTCTTCAAATATTTTTCTGCCCCATTGGCTCTTTCTTTTTCTGGGACTCCAATTATCCTTATTATTATTAAAATATTATCCCACAGGTACCTAAGATTCTGTTTAATTTTTTAATCCATCTTTTTTCTTTTACTTCTTCAAACTGGATAATTTTTCTTGATCTACTTAAAGTTCATTAATTCTTTCCTTTGATATTAAGCCTGTTATTAAGCCTATCCAGTGAATTTTAAATTTAGATATTTCATTGTTCAGTTCTAAAATTTCTATTTGGTTCCTATTTATATTTTCATTTTATTGGTGAATTTTAAATTTTTTTTTTTTGTTCATTACAGGCACATTTTCCTTTACCTCACTGAACATAGATATCATAGCTGCTTTAAAAGCCCTTGTCTGATAATTCTAACATTTGGTTTATCTTGGGGCTTGCATCTGTTAATTGTTTTTTCTCCTGAAAATAAGTCACATTTTCCTGTTCTTTGTATGTCATTTAACAACTTAAATGCATCCTGAACATTAAGAATGCTATGTTGTAGAGACTCTGGGTTCTGTTATATTCCTCTGAAGATCATTCATGTTTCTGTGTTATCAGGCAGTTAACTAAGTTTAGACTCAAAATGCAAGCTCTATACAGCTTCAGTGAACAACAAATCAGATCTCAGACTGCTTTCAGTGTGCCACACAAATGCATGGTTCAGGAGTCAGCCAGAGAGTTTGGCAGGGTTTATATACAGAATTTGAGTATTTAGTTGGCTCTCTTCTTTCTGAAGTTCCATCTAACTCTCCAACATCCTTGGTTATCCCAAATTCCTTACTCTGATTCTACCAACCAGAAAGATAGTAGAGTTTGTTTTATGTTTTATTTATTTATTTTTTAGTTTTAGCTACCTAGTGTTGTTGCCTTGACTAAATCTAATCTCAGGGTGAAGTCACAAAAACACAAAACTCACCTCATCCTGTCACTTTCTTCAAATTTTGACACTCTTTCAAGATCTGCCTGCTTTTGTTCACCTTCTAGAGTTCTCAAGGAATTGCTTTCTTTGTAGTTAGTCCAGAGTTTATAGTTGGTATCTGGAGGGATATTGGTTTATTAGCAGCTCATTTAGCCTGTTGAAAGTGGAACTCCATGGTATTCCACTTTCAAATGTATCTTAGGCTGGGTTCTCTAGAGAAGCAAATCCAGTGAAGTGTATATATATATACGCGCAGAGAGAGAGAGAGAAGGAGAGATTGAGATTTGTCTCAAGGAAATGGCTCATGTGGTTATAGAGGCTGGAAAGTCCCAAGTCTATGGGTCAGCCATCAGGCTAGAGGCTTCTCCTGACTCACATAGCTGCAGGGGCTGATGAACCCAAGACTGGCAGGTCAGATGGTAGGCTGCTAACTCACAGTCTACTGAGGCTGATGAATCCCAAGACTGGCAGGCAATACAACAGGTCACAGGCTCAAGTTCCATTAATTGGAGGTCAGATGATGACTGGCTAGATGCAGGATCCAGAGCCAGCAAAAGCCAATGAACTTTGCCCAAAAGATCATACATATTGG